GACAGGTCTTGGAACCTCTTGCATCTGGGGCATCTGAACTTCACCGTTCGGTTGAGACATTCTGAATATAAATAAAATAAAGTACAAAACTTATATTACGCATATACAATAGAAATCCAAAGTGTTCTTTGCTGAAAATTCTTGGGAAAAAATTGGAATAGTCAGGTCTGTTAAGGTCAGGATCGTAATACAGAGTTGACAAAAACACCAAACTTTGCACAGCGATAGCTTACTGTAGTACCATGAATATTAGAGGGGGTGCCCAATACAAATATGCCACTGAAGCGTGCTAAACAGGGTTTATATTATTGTAAATTTCACCTGCTGGGGTCCCTGTGGTGTTTTGATTGAAAATTGTTATTTAATATGTAACAACAATTTCACTCGCACAGTTGGCATTCCCATCCATTTTTAGCTTATTGATTGTACAATTCGAAAAAAAAAATTGTCAAAGAGTCTGTTGTATCACATATTATCAGGGATTTATGACAGCTGCTCATGAAGAGTAAATAACGAAATGACAGAACCCAAAATATTTCTTTCCTAAGGAGGTAATTAATGTTTCAGCTTAACATAGGCCTGGATGCCTTTCAGTCTCTCTTTATCTGCTGGACGCACGTGCACGTTTTGACAGAGAAGCAAGCATCGTGGCACAAGTCATATCATTTACATTTCCCACAGTTTGTCTAAGCTTTACAAAGCAAAAACAAACAAAAAAGAATCTGGTCTCATAAACGAAAAAAAGAAACAAGTTAGCCCAAGCTTCAAACGACAGAACAGTTTATCATGAAGGTCATGAAGCCTCTACATTTGGCACTGAAGCACTCATGTCCAAAAATAATAACAGCTTATCAATTCGTAAAAGTGAGACTCAAGTGGTACAAGATTGACTCAACTGATAAATGGTGAATGGTTTAACTGCTGAAACTGTAGAAAGGGGGCCGGGCTAACTTTTAGGGCCTGTTTAATAATAATAATAATACACTTTATTTACATTGTAAAGAGGGTAGCATGGAATAGTTACAGAAACTAGTAAACTTGTGGCCCTCTATCTAAATTAAAATGACAAAAAACATAAGATTCCGAATATACAAAGTCTAAGAACAAAATAAATAAAACTAAGGAAATATAGAAGTTCTACATCAATATGAATGAGTATAAGAGCTAGTGATATGGCTAGTGAAATACATACAAGAATATGATTAAACTATGAAATGGTGTAATTCCTGCTGCTCTTTAAATAAGATATTTCGATAATTATTCTTATAGGATTCTAGTGATAATGCATTTCTAAGTTCTAGACTTAAGATGTTCCAGAGTTGGCAAGTAGAAACTGCGAACCACCTGCCGCCTTCGGTCACCCGATTAAATTTTGGGCAAATAAAATTTATATTACTATATCTAGTTACACGACTATGTTGCTGACTGTTGAGTCTTAACACTAGACGCCTGGTTATTAGCGTTGGAAATTACCCTTGCTGCTCTCTTTTGTAGCTTAAAAATACGGTTTAAATTCTCCTTATCACAACTAGTCCAGATTGAACTGACATAATGCAATACAGATCTTATCATAGTATTATTTAAAATACAATAGCCTTTGTTTCGTAGGCAGGCAAGATCTTATCTTTTTTAATACGCCAATTCGCTGAGACAGCTTTTTACAAATTTTCTCTACATGGGAAGTAAAGGAGAGTTCAGAGTCAATTTCGAGACCTAGCAGCTTAGCACTGGTAACGAGTTCGAGTTCAGTTCCTTTAATAGTTTAAGTCATTTCTTCATTGATCTTTGAAGGGAGACGCTTGCCAGTGATGAGCATAGCCTTGGTTTTACGTTCATAAATTGGCAGTTTGTTCGAAGCTGCCCAATCGACGATTTCGGCAATTGACGACTTTAGGGTACCCTCTAGCCTTCCGATAGAGCTATCGTTCGTGCTGGAAGTCAGCGTTATATCGTTGGCATACAAATCAATTCTTGATGAAGTGACGTAAAGCGGTAAGTCATTGATAAAGACGATAAATAACAAGGGGCCAAGTATGGACCCCTGGGGAATACCATGACGAACAATAGCGACACTTCACAGTTTTTCTCCCGGCTTAACAAGTTGGCGTCTGTCCTTCAAATAAAGAGTAAACCATCGAAGGGAATCCCTACTAATCCCATACACTTCAAGTTTCTTTAACAAAACCATTCCACTGACACGGTCATTGTCAAGGTTGAATAGCAGATCGTCAATAATCTTGATCAAGGCAGTTTCAGTACTGTGCTTCGAGCGAAAGCCCGATTGTCTGATGTAGATTAAATTGTTTTCGCACAAAAAGCTGTAGAGTGCATTATGAACATGTCTCTCCGCAATCTTAGACAGAATGGGTAAAACTGATATTGGACAATAGTTTGTAACATCAGTGGGGACTCCGCTTTTGAATATTGGTGTTACCTTGGCAGTTTTCCAACGACTGGGAAACACGTTTAAAGAAAAAGATAGGTTGATCAACTTTGTAATTGAAGGTGCAATAATCGAAGCAGCTAGTTTGAGCATTCGAGAACTGATGCCGTCGACACCAGTAGATTTATTGGAATCAATTTTCAAAAGATAGCCAACAACATCTGCTTCTGCTATAGGTGGAATTGAGAAAGCAGCACTTTCATACTTCCGAGATCTTACAGAGTTACTCAACTTAGAGGTGTCAAACGGCACGTCGGGTAACAGTTTTCTCTGCTTATCTGCAATTGTTGAGAAGTGAACATTGAATGCTTCAGTCATTTCTTCGTTGTTTCCTAAATCTTTCTCTTTGATTATTAGGTGATTAATCGATTGTTGTTTATTGACACCGATGAGCGATTTGATGGTCTTCCAGATTCCCTTGGGGTTATCCTTATTATTCTCGAAGGTAGTTTTAAAGAACTCAGACTTAGCTTTCTCAGTAGAAAAACTGCTTTGTTCCGAGCTCTTTTGTAACTTTCCCAGTCGGCCGGAGTTTTTTATCTTTTTGCAATTTTTAGAAGCCTGTCCCGCGATGACAGAACTATCTAACCAGGGCGATTTTTTGGCCTTTACATGGAGGAGGGGGACCCCAGGTAGGCATGGTAACCCACTTAGATGGGGTAATCTCTCATGTTAATTTGATCACGTTTACATGATAGGTGTGGTAACCCTTCAAAGTGGGTAGCCCGGTCTGACACACCGGGTAACCCTCTCAGCTGAGGTCAAATTTTGCCGTGTCAACGTTTCAAGGTGAGGTAACCCAGGCTAGTCGGGGTCTGATTCGAGATACATCAAATTCGCTCAAAATTCACTTTGGCGCCAGGTGGCTTCACATAATTATTAAAGGTAACAATAGAAAGCCACAACACTGAAGGTTGCAGCAAGAGCAGCAAGTGAGCGTAGACGTGGTTTGCCAGCATTTTTCTTGTTTACGTGCTTAGTGACCATTCAATAATCTTGAGAAAGTGCACCCCAGGATAACGGGCTTGTAAGATTGCTTGTAAAGGAGGGTTATTTTTTTACCCCTCTTAAGCAGGTTACCTCACCCACCTGGGGTCCCCCACCTTTACGTTAACAGGCCCTAAGTCTCAGGAACCGTGAAACTCGTAATAAACGGTATACCTAACCCGGGACTAGCTGTGATACTACTTCTATCTTCAAAAACGTCAGCATAGCAGCCAAAGGAGCCATTATATCGATGTAGCACGAATATTAGATTGCGCCGGGTTGTTTGATGCGTCTCTTTTTGTGACTTTTTTTGTGTTCGTTTTTGTCACCATTTCTAAATTTCAGTCATGTTCAAAACACCCCTACTAACAAAATATTTCGTAAAGCTCTTTAGAATGATATTCAGCAATAAAAACAAGGTGTGACCAGGAGCCGATTTCTAGGCTCTTGGTGTGGCAACATAAGCATAAGTGAATGTAAAGTTTTGCGGTATGTAATCTGTCAGAAATCTGTTTGAATGGTCAAAGTTGGGGCTGATGGGCTTCTTTATCATGACCACACCATTCCATTATTATAAGGGACCAGGCCATAATTATTGTTGACCCTTACTTTTTTTGGTATTTTCTGTAATTTTCCACAGCATTATTTTGTGAAAAGTCGGTAACTAAATTGCTCTTGAGGAATTCATGATCGTAAGATTTCGTAACCACGGGGTATTCGCCTAATTGCATCAATCAAATTTACATACATTCATTTTCATAAATGATGCATCATTGGTTGACTAAAAGAGGCCTTGTTCCTGTAACTTTTTAGCTGTTCTGAAGTTAGTTTGTTTGTAAATTGTAACGCAAGCGACGACCTTCCTTTTTTTGAAAGATCGTATAGACCTACCATTAACACTCAGGTGCGAGGGCTCTGCAGTGAATGAGCTCCTTACAGGTATCTAGGCATGCAGGGACCTCATACACGTCTTTTTAAATGCAAATGTGTAAAAAATAAAGAATGTTAAAAATTCCTGGAGAGGCATGTTTTACAATTAACCTCGTCCCCAGGGCTTAATAAAAAGGTAGAAAAAGGTAAATCGACCATATTTTACGTCAATAACTCGTGACAGTAATAATAACTGATAAACTTGAGGTCGACGGTGGGCTTCTTTTATCCCCCTCTCTCCATTAATGCTCCGTTTTAAGGGTACTTAAAGCTAGTCAAAGCTACACGGAAAGGAGAGAAGTTGAAGTATGGATGTGTTGACACCGGGGATCGAACTCGGGACCTCGCGCACCGAAGGCTACACACTAACCAACTGTGCCACCCTTGCTCCTCCTTTTCCCCCTGAGGTTGACATGTTTTAATTATTATCTCAAGGACAGGGTTACCAACGAAGCAAATTATAATCTAATCTTAGCTGCTCAATTGCAAAGTGGGCGCGTTGTCAGTTATGGTTCATGAGGTCGTTGATGTGGCATGTAAAAATTTAACGATTCTATCGTTTAGGATGTGATACATTTGGGTTTTATATTATTGTATGACATCTTTGAAAGCTGCCTTTGTGATCTGTTTAAATTGATATGTAATGATATTATCACTGGCAAGTCTTAGCAGTGACACTGATAGCCGCACAGTGAACATGGCCACACTTACCGTGTGGAGACTGGGCACTAGTCAGTATTATGTACATGTAAAACTACTTTGAATAGAGTAACAACAACTAAACATTACCAAATTAAAAACTTAAAAATTTGAAACAAATGTTTTTTAGCCAAATCAAACAAGACGAGTACTCACCACAGGGAACCCATCTGCTATTATAGGTGAAAGTTACCCCCCCCCCCTTTATCTGTAATTAGGAATATTTGTAACGGGCACCCCCTCCAGTATTAATCGGCAGGTGCTAAGGAAGCTCTTTGCCAAATTTGACACTTTTGTCACGTCTGTAACGATCCGGCCTATCTTTTGCACGAACAGACCTGACTACCACCTTCCTCCTTGTCGCTGATCAGAGACTGATCAGAGGGGAAGTGTTCAACGGCATTTATTATTGCCCCTTGGGATTCAGGGCCCCGTGCACCTACATACCCTAGTGCATGAGACTTTTTATTTTAATGTTTTGGCTTCGTGCATCGATTTTGAGTACTGTGAATAGGGAGCTTAAGCAGCGACGTTTTTGAGCGACGCACGTCAACCGGAAGTGAGGTATTTTCCCTCTTAACATGCCTTGATGATATAAAATTTGTATTCCTTAGCTTCTTTACTGTTATAGAGGCGATTTGACTGAAAATTTGCGCGAAACCACCGTCAAAAAATGAAAAAAGGCCACCTCCGGTTGACGTGCGTCGCTCAAAAACGTTGTTGCTTAAGCTCCCTAAAAGCAACAAAACGGGAACGTCTGTTGACGACTGCGCGCGCAAATCAAACAACTGGATTGACCAATAGCAGATGGCAGAGCGGCAAATTGGGTACCGGAAGTCGAGTTTAGTCCTTTCAGCGCGCTTACCCGTCGTCAAATGGCGTTCCCGTCCGGTTGCTAAATCAGTCTATTATCTCTACAGTATGACGCGATTAGTTTCCTTCGCTCCTCTTTGATTGTTTGAGTTAATCCAGTGGCCTTCCATTTTGTGGTAAACTTCTTTTAACTCGGAAATCTTGGCGAGGCTCTTTTCAACATCGTCAATATGTTCCAGCAATTGCTTAAAATCCCTCCTCGCCAGTTGAAAATCCTTACCACTAACATCTCTTTTATTCCCTGCAAAAAGGTACGCAATAAGTACTTGACCAGCGGCACCTAACGTCAATTTTCCGAAAATATCTGTTCGGAAGACGATTTGAGATCTAGAATTTGCGGAACATTGTTGTAAAATTTCTTGCTTGCCTGCCTCTCCTAGGATTTTCGAACATCTAAAAAATGGTGCAATTGTCCATTTTTAACGGATTTTTACCCTAAAAAGGTGACCTATAATTTTTGGGAGCCTTTTTTTCCGGCTGAAATTTTCGAAAAGGTAAGTTTGATCCCCATAATTTTCGGATCACTAGACTTTCAGCTAGGAAATCCGAACAGATGAAACATTTTTAGGGGATAAAAATAAGCCTATATCTACTTTTTAAATACTAAAATACGTTTAACAATGGTTTAAGTGGTTTTGAACTATGTTCTCGTTGAATGACCATGACTTGACCAGTACACTCCATCCCAGACCCACATGTTAAGAAACGGACTTTTAAAAATCACAGTTCTCTCAGTATTCATCCCAGCAGAGGTAGACGTGTTGAGAAGTTCTGCATTAAGGCGTCCCAGGTGTGTGAGGTCGTAAGTCAAAGAAATTGAAAATTTTACTCCAGATGGCTACATATAATCTCTCTGACATAAAAATCAGGTTGAGGTTACCTGAGGACACCTAAGGAAATAGCTTGTTGTTGGTCTTAACAAAGTACGTTTCAAAAACTGTTACCATTTTTGAATGTGAAGTTTCGACTTTTCTGCCTGTAATTAAGTTCCCAAACCAAACCCAAGACAACCAAAGCAGCCAGAACGCCAGACAAAGTGTACATGGCGAGGCGAAAAGCTGGCTCATCTGAACCGAATAGGTTCAATTGGGTTGTCCATGGGCTTCCTCCTCCTTCGTCCTATGGAAAGAATAATCATGTTAGACAAAATAAAATAAGACAATATGTTTATTTGGGGACTTATACCAGCTGGTACAACGACCCTTTTCCAAAACAATTGAAAATTAAAATATATGCTAGTTATAGATTACACTATACATAACATGTTATAAACAAATAGAGATAATTAAACACATATCTATTTATATAATTTACTTTTTGTCTTGCTTGTCCTTTCTTATCTCGAAGCATTCAAATATATGCCTACTTATCAATTTCTGGACTTTTCGCTTGGGGGATTGAATATTTCATGAATATTACATTTTGTGAAATTTTGTTAGAACGTTTCTTTTCTCCTTTTTTGAGGTTTTTATAAGGTCTTAAGTAGGGTTTGTGATTGCTCAATCGCAAAAATTTTATTTTTTAAGTTACTCTGTGACGGATGTTGGTAACCTGGCGAAGGTCTGATGTGCTTCTTTGGCTTTTTTGTTCCAGAAAGCTTTATTTTCACTCCATTTTATATCATGAATCGAATGTTATTTGCGATGATATATTTTTCCACAAGTTAAAATTCCTACACTGGGCGTCAATTTTCATTCAGGGAATCCTTCCGTCTCCGCCCTCCAGTACGCATGGCCTTCACTGCGTCTAGCCGTTGAGTAACACACAGAGTGTTCGACAAGAAGCTCGAACAGTGCAATCTAGCCTGTGAATCTTGTATGAAGGTATTTATTAGTGTATACCTTAATTTTTTAACATGCCCTAGTCTACAGGATCTGGAACTAGCCGTGTTTAGCGCGCAAAGTTTATAGCAAGAAGACCGTATAAATCAGGTGCCGATACTGACCGATTTCCTAAACGAGCCATCTAAGGCGAAAGCTTGTAGGTGGGTTCGGGGGCATGAACCCCCGGGAAATTTTTGGGATTTTAACTCCCTAAAGCCCCCTTTCCTGGGTTGGGAGTCATACAGACAGAAAGCCTTGCAAATCGGCGAATTATTTCATCCGGGTGAATTTCCATGTTGTAATGGGCTATTCTGACAGCGACAAGTGATTTTCCATGCAGCTGGATATCTCGTACCGTGTCTAATGCCCAGAAATTGGGGGGAAAAAAAGAAAAAAAAAAGGTTGTCCAAACTATTTTCACCATTTAAACTTGAAAAGTTTTTTTCGTTATTAAGAATATATTTATTAAGAAAATCTGACCAATTTCCGTAAAACGATGGAAACCGTGCTGGATCCGCGCCTGCCAATAGAACGAACAAAGCAAAGAAAATGAAACACGCCCAGTCCAATTGGGGATGTAAGGCTGACTACATTTAACGTTTTGCGAAAATTTTTTTCCAACTTGCTTTAAGCTTCTTTTTCCCGTACGCAAGGCCTGATGAGAAATAACATTTGTGAGCAGGTTTTCAGCTAAACGTTTTCGATTATCATTGTTTATACTTGCTTTTAATTATAATGGCTCATACTTACTTTAACTGTTTGACCTCTTATGTGTTTTTGTACGTATGGGTAAATCCACGTTTGATCTCGCTGAACTTCGTTTTCAATACACCGTTTTAGACAACGCTTATAATCCACCATGTATAATCCGATATGAAACGGAAACTCCAGGATTGTGACTTGCTCGAACATTTTGGTATCAATGTCTCCTTTATTGAAGATGTACGATGCAGTAAATACGTCTAACAGCACTCCTTCAACCTCTTTACGGCGGAGTCCCGTGAGAAGTGCTTCAAGGTCGCCATACTCTGCGTCAAAAAATCAAATTCGTTTTTGAGAAAAAACTCTTGACTTTGGTTTGTATAATACCGGGGAAATAAACAATACCTAGTGATACAATTGCTAGAAGATAAGTGTATACGAGGAGTTTACTTTGCAAAATGTCATAGGGTTCTCTTAATGTTTGGCAAAATGTCAACAGTTTGCAATGTTCTTGCACCTTTTTATATCGCATAGCAGTACAACGTTACTTTACGTTACCTAAAATAGTAGTTCGGTTCTGTGTTGGTTGAGTTCTGAAAACTAAATTTCATTTGTTTTATATGAAGTATATGCTTTAGAGCTGTGATTTCTATTTCAAAGAAAAATACTGTAAAAATGTAAGTCCTCAGTCCACACCAATTGTAGTTATCTTCTTGAGAAGCATTGTTGGACTTCAGCCAAAAACTTATTTTCTAGCTTTTTGTGTGATAAAGCGGGTGCAATCTGAAGCTAATCTGGCCAAAGGATAACATCAACTTTGACGAACAAAATTTTTCTATTACAATATTTCAACGACCGTTTGGACGATGTTTAGATTTTTCAGTAACCCTGTTGTAATAAGAGTATTGTGTGACATGAGCACCAATTGTATTTAATTTCAGTAATTTGGATTTAAGCATGCCGCGATTCGCAAGAATTTTTTTGCAGTGAAAATGAACAGTCCCTGTTCATATTGAAAGTTATCTTAGGTTATGTCTGAACCAGCCCACTGGGAAGAGCATATAATACGGCAGTTCACACGAAAACGATACGAACTCTTCGTTCAATGCTCGTCGGCGCCGGACGTAGTTCGTCATCACTAAAGGTAGATGCGCGTGTAACTCTTTTTTGGAAATAAACCTGCGATCGACAGAGGCAACATTTTCGCGGTGTGAGCTGGCGTGCATGCGAAAAGTAGCCTTTGTCGATCTCAGGGTATTTAGAAATATAATCAACTTCTTCTTTTAAATTGCAGTGTATCACTGTACACTGTACTGAGGCAATCTGTAATAATCATCTCACTTTGTAATAAACCGTGTCGCGATTTGTAATTAAAAAGCTGTCGCAATTTGTAATAATTCCATCGCACTTTGTAATAAACTAAGCCTTCACAATTTGTAACAATTCCATCGCACTTTGGAATAAACTGAGCTGTCGAAGTTTGTAATAATTCCAGGCATGGCGCTTAATAGATTTCTATTAGTCTTTCAAAAATAGCAACAAACAACACGCAGACACGGCAATTTTTGTGAATGGTCTGACATGGAAAACGGAAAAGAAAATACATTGACAAGGCGACATGTCACGATAATTTTCATGTCTTGAAGCGAATCCCTCATGGCAAGAGAATGAATCTCAAAAAATTTATTACAGTCTGCGATGGACAGTTATTACTAATTGCGACAGCTTTTTTATTACAAAGTGCGACAAGGTTTAATACATAAATTGCGACAGGTATTACAAAATGTGACGATTATTACAAATTGCGATAGCACAAACACTTTGTCTAGTATCAGGTCTATCTGGTCTAGTATTGTAGTTATGCACCTCTGATCTCTAGTTAATAAAACCTCTCATAAGTACTATGGGGCATAGCATACCCTTTTACAATTTTGTGCATCGCGTCGCACACCAGCAGTTCATCTATTTTTCTCTGAATAAGGGTGGATTTCCACTGCCGCGTAATGTTTTACGTAACTCCGTAGGTGCCTCAGTTCTATGCGCGTAAATAAAATAGAGGCAATGTATGAAGTGTCGCGAGTAAACGTAAAAATTATGCGAGATATTAATTGATACACACGTAAAAATTACGCGACAGTGTAAATCCACCCTGAAGTTAGTTTTGATGATGCTTTAGTTCTTACCCTTAACGATTACTCCTTGCTTCATTCCTTCCATGTATCCTCGACTGTTGGTTAAAACACCAAGCTATAACAAGAAATATTGAAAATAACTGCTTTAAATCTTAAGAATCATGACAGTTTCGTGGGTATGCAAAACCAAAAGAAGTATAGTTGGACTTAATTAGCAAATCTTAGTCTAAGGATGTGTGATAAAACATGTGCAGTACGAACTGGTCAGCGTAGTTTATCTGGGAGATATGTTAAACGGCCATTGTTCTTTCTTGGTGATGATCTGATAAATAAATAGATAAATAAAATAATTATGTAACAAATATTGGTGTGGTGGATGCATAACTGAGTTCTGCGATCGAATGTTATGGGCCTTCTACTAAGTTTTCCGATACTTTGTGTGCGGGGAGTTCATGGGTTTGCTTCCCCCGTTAATCTGTGATGTATCTCTGGGGAATTTTGCATCAAACATTGACCTGGTGAATACATCTGTGAGCTATGTGAGAGAATTTGCGGATAAAAGATTGTACTGCATGTTTCCTCTGTGAGTTGTGTCGGAAACTTTGAATTGACTGTATTGCGAATATGGATAGGAAACATGTGAGGCTTGTATAGGGCACTTGTGCATCGACGATCTGCCTGTAGAGTTAATCTGACAGACGTATGGTCGAACTCAGTATGCATTTAAAACATGTCTCAATCGTTCCTTCGAGAGACGTATGGATGGTCTTGTGCGTCTAAGAAATGCCTTCATGACCATGTCACTCGAGAGAGGTGTGGTTGAACTAACGCGAGGACTGTATACCTTCATGATCCACCTGTCAAGCATGTCTTCGGAAGTGTGCATCGGTAAAATTAATGCCTGCATTACTGTAACTTTTTCATTCACCGGTGAAAAACTGATGATATTTGCCTCAATGCAGTCTTGGATTTTGGATTCCATCCCGTGGATTATGGACTCCAGATACTGGATTCCATATTTTTATCAATGGAACTTGGATTCCGGATTTCAATTGTTAGTGTGATTCCGGATTCCAAAGCCCAGGATTCTGGATTCCACAAGCAAAAATTTCCCTAATTCCAAAATCCTGATTACCTTACATACATGGGGCAATGATGTGAAGAGACGTTTGCATCGATGTCATGTCTGCACGATTAATCCGTTAGACAAGAGATCGAACGTGTGCATAGTAAACATTTTGTGGTCGAAATTAGATAAAACAATATTGGTGTCCTTACCTCAGTGTTAACAATTTTTCTGTGGTCAGTCACAATTCCTGATGTTAGAGCTGTCGTCATCGTTGCAGTTAGATATGCCATTACAGCCACGCTAGTAAACATCCATAAAATACTCAGAAGACGGGCTAAGAAGGACTTTGGTGCTTTATCACCATACCTTAGGAAAGAAAACAACGATTAGAGCATATCTACAGCCAGAAGTGGTAACAGCCACGCGTGCCAAAAGTTAATGAAAGACCAAAAGCCGAAGATTTCAACCCACCATAGGGAATCTCCTAGAAGAGAACCAATTGCAAGTCTTCTGCGACCTCCCTACACCAGAGGCCATAGTTGGTAGAGGGGACCTCTACTCACTATACAGAGGCTAATAGTGAGTTTGTAGGTTGTTCAGAATTTGTATCTTATATATTTCTTTATAATTAAACAAATCCAAAAGCGTACTTATCTTCGGTTGGTGAAGAACAAAGATGACTTCATGCAAAAGACCTCTCAATTCTCAATAAGCGTTAGATAAGGAGAAAGACTACTTCGAGTGCAAGTCACCTGACCTCAATTGTTTTCTTTAAGTATTTCGGCATGCAAAAGTTCTTAGTTTTTGTAACGTTTTCAAACGGTCCAAACGTGATTGTATTTTTCACCGGGCTTTCCCTTATCTTCTAAAATGAAAAACAAAAGAACTATATCATTCATTCACTCATTCTAACTTTAAATCGCTTCTGAATCAGTTTTTTAGATCACAGACTAAAATTTGGTTCGAAAAAATTCTTTCCACATTCTCTTTCCCCGAGAAAGCAGATGATATGGGATGAAAATCGAGAAACTGGAAGTATTTACCCGACCGTTGCCATGGTAACAAAGGCCCACCAAATTCCTTCCAAGGAACCACGCAAAAAACTTCGGGGAAATTCCTCAGCGTTTGACCTGCTCTCCTGAATAGCAAAGTGAATCGTAAAGAAAAAAGATGAACAGCTAGAAAATAGACTTTTTAAGTGGTCACATTAAAAAGAAATAAAACAATTTTCACTTTTTTGGTATATCTGTGGGCTAAAAATCAGCAAATGTAATGCACAAAACATTGAATAATCGTGTAAACAAAATTTCACCACTGAGTACCCAAGCCTGATAATTAAAAACGTTTATAACTGGTCACGTGACTGCATTAAAAGCTTGAAGTTTATCAAAATGTACTACAAATTATCAGTTTTGTTATAACTGATGGTTATTTTCCTAAAACTCTTTCATTTAAGGCGTTTTTTATTTCTAGCCTAGTTTCCATGTTAGAGCTTAGTTTGGCTTAGCCCTACATCAGAAAATATTTCCCTTAGGGCCCTTAAGAATCTGTGAAAGTTTCATGCTTGTATCACCAATTTGAACAATTCGAACTTTTTTTGGTCGATAACAGCTGGACTAAATAGCGCGAGCGCAAAAATTCCGAGGCAGAGTGAATCTCGACGCGATGTAACATAAGGCAGTGTTAGGAAGTGTAAGGTAACTTTTATGACGTAATGCAGAACAGAGATAGCATTGTTTTCTGGCGAACACGTGATACAGGACAGAGTATTCACTAGCCTTTTTCTTGTTTGTGAGTCCCGTACTCATCCCATCTTCAACCAATCGTAGGGTGGATTCATCTGCAACGTACGTGTATAGCTGTCGCATTTGCCAGCATGGGTTAAATTTGCTTTTAGGCTTAAAAACAATTAAACCATCCCAGCGGTTAAATGCGACAGCTATACGGGTATGTTGCAAATGAATCCAACTGTCATTTAAAGCCGTCCTTCTACCCTCGACGATTGATCAAACATAGATGAATAAAACATGGCTAGACGCTGTTTCTCTTTTGCTGGAAACCCCTTTTTGTTTTTGAGGTCATTTTGGCGATCAAGTACTGCCTTTATGATGAATTTCATCGGGAAATTGTACATTGAAATGATTATATTAAGTTTTACTAACCCCTTCGATGCCCTTATCATTTTTCGAATTTATTTTTATTTATGCCTGTGGAACTTCTGAGGTCTAGAATGTGAGTAAATTTTAATAGAATTGCCACATGTCGACCTCACAAGTTTCACAGAAATAAGTCGTAAAACGAGCGGAGCGAATTATAGGTAGCGAAGCGATCGAGGGAGAAAGAGTCGCAAGACTGTCTTGGTCTCGCAGGCAAACGGCATTGCAGTTTAGCGGTCAAAACCTAATTGCTTCTGCTTCTTTTAGTCTTTTACTTTTCTTTTACGAGCACATGATGTCCGTGCGTGGGCAGAACCAACGTTCAAAATTCCAGTTCCATTCTGAAAGTGTCTCCAATTTGTTGGGTCAGGTTTATAAATTCTTCCCGGGAACTGTCTGTGACACTCTCTTTAGCCGTTTGTTTGTTTGATCTTTGACTGTTTCATTTCGTTGACTCAAAACTGTTTAGAATCACAGAGATAAGTGCTAAGTAACATTTTTCAAAGTTTTTTTCTTAGTCCTTCCAGTGTTCAAGCAGCATTATGGTATTCCCTTCTGATCAGGAAGAAAGCGGTTAAAATAAACAGCGGACTCGATAATAAAAAAGCCGTCTGGGCTAAACAGAAGACTATCAGTGACTATGGTTCTGTCAAATCAAATTGAATGTTTATTTGTTACTAAGTCCTTGCTCAAGGAAGCCGTCTAAAGGTTAAAAGGGTATAGTTACTAGCGAGAGAAAGAATTCTATCAATTTTCCCTTACTGCTAGCGGAGATGATTTAAGGTGGCTCGACTGGATTTTTTGAGGTTGATACCTCCCAAGTTTGAGAATTAACTACGTCGGCATGAGAAAAGATATGGAAAAAAGGTTACCAAAACTGTATTATATAAAGATGAAAATTTCTTATGATTTGGGTTTTATTGCAATCGGAGTCGCCATGGCAACGTAATGACGCTATTACGTTCTTCATTTATCTTTGCTTTTCTCGCTACCAGGAGTTTTACTTATAGGAGTACGTACCTGCCATAATTGCCTCCATTATGGCAAAGTTTGAACAAATTCTATGAGAGCGTTTTCGAAATATTTTGAAATGCATTTTAAGAATCATAAAAACAGGGAAATAGCATGCTAGCCACACAATTCGCTGATATTTTAAGAAAATGATAGGCTTTGGGAACGCGGCTTCATCTCATAGTGGTTTGATTCCATTGAAAACTGCATACAAAAAAAGAGGGGAATTGCTCTGGGCGATCGCGAGTAAGAAGAATTTTATTAACTTGCATTCAGTTGCTTTTGTTACAGTTTTTGGACGTAACTTGGTCCATGCCTAAGAATTTCGCCTTTTTCCAAAAACCGCGCTATAATTTTTTTTATAAATTCGACAATCCCGAGATCAATCGTCAAGAAATATTCCCTGCAAGTTTCAAGAACATTGAAAACAGGGACGGCTTTTAAATAGGGCCTCAAATATAGCCAATTTCCCCCCCCAGATTTTGTGTTTACAAGAGAACGTCCTCATTATTCACTGGCATTGTTTTCAAGTTTCATATACACGTGCACATTTAGCAAAAAGATAGAATTTGCATCAAAAAGGCCCTCGGTTAAATCTCCGGGATATGCTAATTACCGAGTAAAGAGATCAGTGATACATTATAACATCAGAGCAACTCTTTGTGCGAGGTTCTGTGATGTTATAACCCGAGTAAGATATAATTACGTATTGCATCCTACAGGATGAGCTGTGACGTTCACCGTTTCGGCTCTCACTGCTATCTGTGACGACAAGCCAATTATTAGCATATTTCGGATATTTCTTCGGAAAGTAATCGAGAGTTCTTTTTGATGCAAATTTATATCTATGAGATGAAGCTGCGTTACCAAAGCTTATCATTTTCTAAACATAATAGCGAATTGTGTGGCTAGCATGCTATTTCACTGTTTTTATGATTCTTAAAACTGCTTTTCAAAATATTTCGAAAACGCTCTCATAGAATTTGTTCAATTTTTGCTATAATGGAGGCAATTATGGCTGGCACATACTCCCTTAAGCGATTTCTTCAAAAAACTCCTGGTACAGAGAAACACAAAGATAAATGAAAAACGTAATGGCGTCATTACGTTGCCATGGCGACTCCGATTGCAATAAAACCCAGATCATAAGAAATCTTCATCTTTATATAGTACAGTTGAGGTAACCTTTTTTCGATATCTTTACTCATGCGGACGTAATTAACGCTCAAACTTGGGAGGTATCCCCCTAAAAAAATCCAGCCGAGCCACCTCAAGGCTATCACCTGTTATAAATTTGGGATGAGCACATTGATCCAGCTTTCATCATCCATGAGGATAGAATTTTATTTGATATTTCATTATATAGGTTTCGCCCGTGAGAAGGCGATTGGTCCTTCAAGTGATATTTGTGTTCCCTTTTTCCTAGCTTGTACCTTTTCATGGCAACACTCAAGAAATGTTTTTTTTTTTGAGGAACTTAAGAACCCCTCTCCTTATTCTCTTTTGAGTTATACAAGAGATGTTTTCCGAGATGAGAAAAAGCCAAAGATCCTGGAGACGAGTTCTGGCGCCAAATTCGAACGCTTAAGGCTGCAGTATCTTTGTTGTTAAATGGGATACTTATTCATCCCGATATTTATCCCGGTAACCGGGCTGAAGTGTTCACATGGCAAAATTTCCAGCCCGCTTACCGAAATCTCGGGAACCGAGCCGGCCCGCCCTCTAATATCAACACATCGACAATTTTACAAAGGATTTAGAGGTATAAGGCGAGATCTCGGAAACCCGGGCTAATAGGAAGAGGCCCTCATATGCGTATAAGGAAAAGTTTAACAGAGATGGAGCCATCTTCATATTAAAACTTTTCCTTTTTGATGCGGGGGGAATTTTGTCGATGAATGGTCAGTACTTCCATTAAAAAAGCGCGGGTGTGTTTCGCTCCAACTATGGCTTAAAGCATTGTTATGCATAAAATATATAATATACGGAGTTTTGGCAGGCGGAGGAGGTTAAAAGGCTTATCATTAGATGAAGAAATATGATATATGTACACAGCCTGTAAAATAGGTTGACGTTTACATTTACTAATGCGCGTAGTATGATACCTAAACACGATTCATTTGACTTAATAGTTCCCTTTATCCTTAATGGAAGGTTTCAAAAGGGACAATTCGTTTCCGCTAATTTTACACTGTCGAGGCGAGACAAGCAATACATTAGGAAAACAATTTTATTTGTTCATTTCAACCAATATACAGTTAGCGTCTAGAAAAAAAGAAAAAAGACGTTTAATTAAGCCAGTGATAACTGATTTTCATCGAAAGTGGCCTTAAGAAAGTTGATCAATTTAACCGCAAGCCCCTAATCAATTCAGAATTTTTGATCTTGGTAACCTCAACTTAAAAAAAATTGAAAGACCTTTGTAGCTCATGGCAATGGTAACGTTACGTCAGCTTCTTTAGCTACTATTTATTTTCGTTAAGAGCTCCACTTCAGTTCACTGCAATCGGAACTGAAGGCTGACTACCGACTTAAGTTTGAGTTTCTTTCTTTGCGCAAGAATAGAGTCCGAAATTAAACAGGACACCGAATATTTCAATAATAAATAACATGTTTCCTCTTTTTTTCAGTTTATTACAAACATGGTGTATGGTAGGTGGCAACAAAATAGGAACACATTTTCTGACCGTGGTTGCGCGAAACATCCGCTTTCTTTCTTTGCTTTCGTTGTTTCGTTGTCTCTCCAAAGGTGCGTTTCGTCTAATTTTATGGCATTTATAAATGCAAATGATATGTCAAAAGATGTGCGTATTTACAGCTTCTTATAATAATTGAGGTCATCCTGCGTCGAAATTAAACAGGACATCGAATATTTCAATAATAAATAACATGTTTCTTCTTTTTTCCAGTTTATTACAAACATGGTGTATGGTAGATGGCAACAAAATAGGAACACATTTTCTAACCAAGGTTGCATGAAACATCCGCTTTCTTTCTTTCTTTGTTTTCGTTGTTTCGTTGTCTCTCCAAAGGTGCGTTTCGTTTAATTCTATGGCATTTATAAATGCAAATGATATGTCAAAAGATGTGCGTATTTAGAGCTTCTTATAATAACAAAGGTCATCCTGCGTGTTTTCTGGAAACTACTTGGCTAGTTTGATCATAGACCTTGATAGTAGCCTTTAGAAAAGGTCAGGCAACGTGCTCAGTTGCAGCACTTGAGCTCATGAATTTCCAATGATGCTTCTACGGCTTTTCTTTCCTTAAAATGTCCCGTTAGCGATTGGCAATTTTCCTTAAAACTGTCCAAATTCGCCAATGATATATTTACATAGTAAAAGTCATCATGTGGATTTTTAATTAAAACACATTTGTAAGAACAGAGTGTACTCTAATTTATCCCAACGTAGACTCCTGCTTGTCTTAGAAATGGAATGAATTAAAGTAAATTCAAGGCATTTGTCATCAGAAATCGTTAGTGTGTGTGTGTTTTTCTTCTTTTTTTTTTTTCAAGACAAGTTCCTAAGGTAAAATTGGGGGTTTTCAAACTGCCTTTTAAAAAATATCGAGATCCAAAATAAATAAACTAAAAATACTTGTCTAGTGTTATCCAAGTTTGACTATTTGGTTGTAGTATAAGATGAATTATTTTTGAAGTTACGTTCAGTAAATAAAGGATATAGAAGGGCAGACCCCATGGAAATTAATGCGGGTAGTTTGAAACATTTCTATTTTAAGAATTTGGAATGGGAGCTGACACTTGGCAATTTGAAATTGAGATAGCTACGAGCCATACTAATCATGATATCACATTAAACAAACTTTTTCTCTAGTTAAAGTGACAACTAAATGGATTTCAGCTCGATAACACCGATTTCATATTAAAAACCATATGACCCCGCAATCGATTGCTTTATGCTCGTTTGTAATATACAATGTTTCTTTGCTTTCTTCCGTCTATTTATCGTCAGTTTTCACTGAATAAATTCCTCTTGCTAAATACATTGACACCTGAAATTAGGGCCTAAAAAATAAGGTCTTTTGTTCACTTGGGCGTTAGGAAGCTTTTGACAAAAAGTGCGAGCCATTCTTGCGCGGAGCTAGGAGCCGTTGGATTTGCCTATTTTTCGCAGTCTTTCTCTGCTGTTTAAACTTGGGTTATTGATTGATATGCTACTTGGCATCATTACTTCTTTGAAAACTTGATCTTTCAGGATTTCCCCAATCCATTCTCGACATTGGTTCATTTTATCCTTTTTTTCGAAGAATCCGAATTATGAAGTCAATCTAACGCCTTACTTGTCGATCTATAAATCATATAAAGCTTCAGCTTTTTTCTCCTTCAGATTCAATTGAATAAATTTGAATCTACATTGTTTATTCTATTAACCAACTGAACTTCACCTTGTTCTTTTACATTAGTGTAAGACAAAAAGGCGCCTACAGTGGACACAATTGGATGTTTTACATTTGGAGTACGACAGGATCTTGGTATTATTGTTAAAGCAGCATAGGTCAGAAGTTTGAAATTTCATTTACATAAAACAACGTCTACTTACCAATACCCAAATTAGAATTCCAAATATCGCATTTAACAGCAGAGCTAGTACTATGACTGTCCATATTTGAGAAAACTCTTTAATCACATTCCATCTCGCCTTGTCGGCCAACACTTTGCGATTCCTCAATACAGCTATGCCCGGCGAACTTACTATATCTTGGAAGCGAACTTGGTAAAAGATGTGGTTTTTTACATGGGAATTAATCACGGGAAACACTAGGTCAAATCCAGACGTCGTCTCCATGCATTCTGTTAGTTCCGTAGCATTCTCTACTTGATAACTGTAATTTAATTTGGAGCTTGAGTTTTCGCACCATTTGTATGCGGGCTTAGGGTTGCAGTCATTTTTACATTTACTAAGTAAAAATTCGATTGCCTCGTTGAAGGCCCCGGAAATGTTTCCAGTATCATCATCTTTAAATAAGTAAGGTGGACTGTTGAGCCAACAAACTTTGAGCTGATGACATCTTGGAGACGACGCTGTTGGTTTAGATGTTGACTGATTGGAGTGACTTGAGGTGGAAGTCACAGACGAGTTGCTTGACTTGTGGTTTAGTGAAGGTGAAGAGGGCGATAGACTTGAGGTGGAAGTCCCAGACGAGTTACTTGAGTTGTGGTTTAGTGAAGGTGAAGAGGGCGATAGACTTGAGTTGGAAGTCCCAGACGGGTTACTTGAGTTGTGGTTTAGTGAAGGTGAAGGCGATAGAGCATCCACTGGACCAAGTACAAACAAAACTAAGAGAGAAAGTAACGCCAGCCTTATCTCCATTTTGGTGCGTTGTAATTTACCTCAATCATTACTCTCGTATTTTTATGGACCAAGTTCTTCCGTAGACGGGAAGCTTGTTATTTGCAATATATGTAATTCGTCTATAGTTAAACCTATGCCAAAATTGATTAAATGTCAACAATTTCTTATTGGTTCCATTGCTGTAACGAATTATCCTTCTTTAATCTCAATTTGATCGCCGCCATCACTACAAAACAAACGTCACTTGTCAAAGTTGTGAAAAGAAAAAGAACCGACTTAACGCAATTAATTCTGGGATCACTAAGTTAAGCAGTTGCAAGAACAGACTCTATGAAATCATTCTGAAACAAAAATCATAAAAGCGAAAAAGTGTTTGTTTCACCAATTTTTCATTGATAGTAAGTTACCCCGCGGGGAGTTGGATTTCATTATTAAGGCGAGATGAGTTTGCTGATGAGGAACGTGTCTTGTTGTCAATTGAACCTTTTAAATAATCTGCATTCGTCTGCGAAGTAATTATAACAATATACCATGGAGAACTACAGCTGCCAAGAAATAGACACCTAATTGAAATCCAGGGGGACACTCAAGGAAAGTTTGGGTAGAGATGTACAGTCGAGGCCCTGCAGTTTAATTAAGACAAAAATCGTGCATTTCGCTGGCCTGTTGGCAAAAGAGCTTATTTTATGACCCTGATTCATTTCCTTTTGCAAATAGAATTAAGCAATTTTTAACACCATGGAAATTGGTATTTTGAAAAAAATTGTTTGTACAAATTGTAGACCCCTTATCGCCAGCGTTCCCAATCTTACACAGGCTTCTAGTCCAAAAAGACTCCTTGTTCAGTCAAGACGCTAAATAGTATAATGCGTAATACATTGTTCAAGAGCCAAGACCCTGTAAACAATACCCTGTTCAGCACAGCACATATCCACTAGATCAAATAAGGGAGTCCCCCCGGGATTGAGGGAAACCAATAATAACTTTGGCCCATGTCAGGTGTTAAGCCTAAGGCGAAAGAGTAACCGTGTTTAGCTCCTTTTTGCGAGAACGAGTTTCTAATCACCATTGTAAACATTATCGTCATCACGAGAACAAAGACGATGGCAATGAATAATTAAAATTTTAAATAATTAGTTTCTTTATCAGGCAAAAAAACCAGAATCACATCGGGGGGCACGGCCGTAGCCAGTGGCGATGTCTTTGTTGAAAGGGGCTTTGTCAGTCAAGAGGATTTTGCTTTTTTACGACAATTCTGTACTGAAGTCATTAATTTAGACATACACCACATGCACAAAATACTCCAGCACAATGGAGTTATTATTGCGCTCGCGCTCATTCCTCAGACGTCATTTCGCGGGGAAACCAGTGGTGGTGTCGCGAAATGTCGGCTGTTTTCTTAGGCTCAGAGCACTGAAGCTGCCCGGCCTTGCGCGAACTGCTTAACAAACAGATTCTACATGTTGCCGTATGTTTCTTCAGCAATAGATCATGTACAGATGAGTTCAAAATGTGGTAATGTCCTGAGGACAAAAAAAGTGGCGCCGGAGCCGCAGGCGAGATAACAACGTCTGAGCTAATTCACATTATTAAAAACTGAATCATTGGATAATGCAATTCTAGCATTTTGATTGGCTTAGCCGTTATGGTATATGAGCTAATATACCATGTTCTCCATATATGGTCGGTGTACGCGTCAGTTTAAAATTGGAAGCTAGCTGAGATTTTTTTTCGCGAAGGATAGAACGGCGCCCGAAGCAAATCGTTTTCATTCATTTCTTAGAATACTAGAAATGCAATTTCAACGAAAGAAAAAAGGCAAAAACAAACAAAAAAGCCACAAGAGCTTGTTTGAAAGTTTGTCGAAAAACACATGGAACTAAAGTACCTTGACCAGCTACGAAAGAAGACAAGTGTTGTTTCTTCATGATCGCGAAGCCATTCGCCGATCGAGTCACTCGCCGATAGATAACTGCAGCTTGTTTATCCAACATCAAGAATATAAATCACAAGTAACCAGCTACAAATACAGGCTATGCAGCCATTCACTAGAGCAATCGAGGCGGCAGTATAGCTTCTTTTCTCGTTCAGCAAAACCAGCTTGTGGCTTCAAACAACTTCATAACAAGTGACGAGGTAATACCAATAGTTTTTCTCCGTTGTTCTTACTTTTATAACTGCACCGAAAATCCAAATTCATAGTAATTTCGACGGCTGTCACTTAAAAATTCCTTTCCTTCACATTATCTGCCAGGTTTTTTAAGCTGTTCTGCTGTCTAAAATCCTAGAATCACGATGAGTTTTTAAAAAACTAATGTTCATCGCACAATGTTTTGATTTTTCATTCATGCAGTCTAGGCGAGCCTGTTCGCGCGTTGACAGTTTTGATAGACGTGTGACATGTCAATAGCGGAAGTCCCTTGTCTTTTCCGGTTTGTTCTAGTCGGGGCGATTCAACGAGATTTTGTGGGCGTTTTTAATAAAACAATTATTCCACTCGGGCTTGTTGGATATGAAATGATTATAGCCAACTCGGCGCTATGCGCCTCGTTGGCTATCTATCATCTCATATCCAACGCGCCCTCGTGGAATAATTGTTATAATTATACGAAAGCCGAATTTAATAATCGTTTTATTAATCATTCCAAATATTTCCATGATTTTAACAAACTTACTTCCTCGTCGACTTTTTTCTCGGCACATTTTTAGGATATATAGAGATATATAAAAATCGAGCTACATATTTTGCGTATTCTGCATTTTGTTTTATGTTTCGTCTTCGGATAGCTGTGAAAGCCATTTTTGTAGTATACTTCTGCCCAAGTAGCCTCGTTTCCAGGCAAATCAGTTTACCATTGACCGACCTCGTTTCTAAGCAAATATACAATTGTTTGTTTATAAATTTAGTTGTGTCAATCGGGATTGGGGCGTGGTGCCTCAGTTAGCCCTATAATGGCTAGGGCCCTAGGGCCCGTTTCTCGAAAGACCCGAAGACTTTTCGGGCCCGAAAGGAAATTTTGAAATTACTTGAGCCATTGTCTCTATAGTGCGCCTTGGACCAGTTTGCAGATTTGTTAAGTCTTCTTGAAAAAGGTCATGGCTGCACTATTTACTGCATCCCTGAATCTCCCCACCCTCTCAGTGGTAGTCATGAACTCCTCCACTTTTTACTCATCGAGTGTCTTGCTAACTTCAATGCATAGTTTGCCTGTAGTTTTTGTGCAATACATTGTCTTTGCGTGCAGTTTCACTTTACTATACATCAGAGAATAGTCAGTGTCACAGTCTGTCTGCGCTTTGAAGGCTGCATGTGAGCTTGACATGGTAGGATAGTTCACCATGTGAGGATGTAGTTGAGCTAATGCCAATGGTACTGCATGCGCGGAGTCGGAGTGGACGGACGTGTTTTCTAAGCAGCGAGAAATTCGACTCCCCAAATCCAGAATTTCGTTGGGTTCTTGTCCTTTTTGCTCTTGTTTTTACTGTCAAATTGCTTGCTTTGTTTCAACGTCCATAATGTTGGAAAAATTCGAGGAAAAACAAACGAGGTGACCGGAGTTCTAGCTCAGGTTCTGCTGCAAATTCCGCCAAGAAGCCAAACATGAAGGAAACCGAGGAAGAAGGTATATTCGGCGACGAGGACTCCTCTGAAGAAGAACCAACTCTGCTGGAAATTAAACTGATGCTGTCATCTATACAGTCCTCAATTACGAGCATCTCGAGTGAAAACGTCAAATTTAGAGAAGACATGGAGGAGCTAAAGAAGTCGCTGAGATCCAATGAACGTGAACTCAAGGAGCTTAAAGCGTCTCTTGATAAGGCTAACAAGCAAAATGCTCTACTTCAGAAAGAACTACTTGGGACTAAAACAAAACTAAACGAGCAGACGGAAAGGATCGACTCGTTGATTGAATCGCTTGATAACCTCGAGCAATATTCGAGAAAAAATTCCCTCGAAATACATGGTATCCCGGAAAATATTTACACCTCAACGGAAAAAGTTGTTCTCAAGGTAGCTGAGGCCGTTAATGTCCCTGTTGCTGCGGAGGACATCGAAATCTCTCACAAGCTAAGACGACGAAATGGTATGAAGCCTATAATCGTAAAATTTTGTAGCCATAAAGTTAAGTCTCTGCTATATAAAGAGCGAACGAAATTGAAGTCGGTAAAGATATCAGATTTATATCCCAGTTATGCCTCAGCAGCAACAAAGCAAAACCGTATATTTATCAACGAAAACCTCACACCTTATAGGGCAGACTTAGTAAGACAAGCGAATGATATGAAGGCTGATGGACTTTTATCAAGTGTTTGGACACTAGACGGAAAGGTCTTTGTTAAAACTTCACCATCGGTAATCCTGTTAGAATTTACTCTGAAGATGATCTTGATGAATTATAAATGCTTAACAAACATCCATGCAATAATTACGGGAGGTCGATTTCGCCATAGGCTTAGATTGTACGAAGGTTAGTCTCTTAAGCGTATTTTTCTTAAAAAACTTTTGTACTTTATTAGTTTTTTTTGTTGTAAAGTTAGGTTTTTCTTTTTGCTTTTTCGTATTAATCTATTCTGTTGCTTTTTCTTTGTTTGTTTTCTATTTCTTGATTAATTCGTTGCTGTTGAGTTTAGTTAACGTAACCTAATATTAGCATAACTATTGTGCATTTAAGTTTAGGTGTAAGATTTTAGGTGATAATACAGTATGACACTTATCAAATTCCTATCACTGAATGTAAGGGGATTACGCAATCATGTCAAACGAAGGGCATTATTTTCGTATCTAAAGAATCAAAAAGCTGATTTCTATTGTCTCCAGGAAACATTCTCACTGAAAGGAGACGAAGTCTCTTGGGCTACAGAATGGGGTGGGAAAGTATTTTTCTCACACGGTACAGAACACTCTAAAGGTACTTGCATATTACAGAGACCAAATTCTTTGTTTTCATCTAGCGTCCAGCTTATTGATCCAGATGGTAGACTAGTCATTGTGACGAATCCCTTCAGTGGTTCAATATATCTCACAAAACCAATATTCAACTCACGCCGCTTCAAGTTTTTCTCAATTTACCAACCCCAGCTTTCAATCTTTCCAATAAACAAACCATGGATTTGTGTCTTCTTCTGTTATATGTAAAGCAGTACCACTATGGATGTAAATCAATGCAAAAGAAAACAGACACCTCTGAATTTATATCTAAATTTATTATGCAGCTTGAAATAGAAGTTTGACATGATAGTGCCACCCTCCTCTCAGCTTTATATGTATATTAATGTAATACATTAGCTTTAATATGTGTAATCGATAGAAGTATTTTAATGGCCAATACAGGAACATTTATCTAAGTGCACAATTGTAAGTATTGTAACGTACTTTTGTTTGATAAAAAAAAATTGATTTAGGGTGTCTCCAGCACCCTCTGTGATAAGACTTCATGTTGAAATACGTGTTACTGACACAGAGGCGAAGGCAACAAGAGAGCTGCACCAGGTGTTGTCCAATTTCGTTCATTTTTCTAGTTCCGAAATGATCCAGACAGTTAAACCAAGAGTGCATTGAAGTCGCTGAGTAAGGAAAGTGGTTCAGTCTCTGGGATACTTCCGATGATGGTGCTGAGGTCATCATATATAGAACCTGTCTTTGGTCACAGGCCAGGATATCAGCGTGTGTGCGTTAGCACTGATGAGGCTGACTGACCCAAAGAAGGAGTGGAGACGAGGAGATTCTTTCTGGTTGTGCTCGAGGGGACAATACGTCCGAGTTAGTTGTTTCCGACCGAAAAACCCAACACCGTGCTCTCTTTTCTCATCTGATGACTTCCCTTTCCAAAACAAGATGAATTCCTTTTTACGCAAAGAGCCAATTCCTGCGAGCCGGGTCTCATGAATAGCGACACTATGCTGTCCACTTGCAACCTGCTCAGCTCTTTAACTATGACTGCTGTCCTCCGGGCGTCATGCACCCCTTGTAGATGGTATGTGAGGCCAGGTATCATAGCACTGCCGTTCCAAGTCTTCAGTCGTAGGCCAGTTTGCTCTACTTTCCTTTCCATACTATTTGTGCAAACTTATCGATCCGGCCTGCATCCTAAACCCCACGCACCCATGCAGTGAAGTTAGCGAACCATGAAGAGAAAGCACCTTGTTGACTGGGGGCACCCTGCGGGGGGCTGCCGAGCATAAGGCGCGCGGTAGTTACCAGTGAAACATGACGGTCTCTCCCACCATCAAAGGCAGCCCCTGGCGTTTAACTCTACGCCAATTGACTTGACGACTTATAACCGATAGATTGCTGTTTTCCGTGTTGTTTCCACCCCGATCGGCGAAGCTCAAGAGTCCTCTCCAGTACGCAAAGCCTGAGGTGAGTAGTACCACGGAGTATGAGCTGTTACCCAAGCAACAGTTCCCCCTACAACATGGTCCAGTGGAGGGGCAGAAGCCAATACCGTAAATGACCTAATAGACGCCCACTTCCAAATAAACGCCTCTTATCTAATAAACGCCCCCACTACGCTGTTAAAATTGTATTACACGCCCCTCTCTAATAAACGCCCCCGGTCTAAAAGACGCCCCCTATGAGAATTACTACAAAATACTACTATTAAGAAAAAGGGAGCAAATCATTCAATCCGTTCAGTTTCTTGCTTTCATAATAAACAAGGCTTTGCGTATTTCATCTTGTTGAAAGTTCAAAGTAAGGATAGACTATTGATGGCAACAAAATAACCCTGAGCAAGGATTCTGACATCGACGTTGGGATTTGAAAGAGCGATTTTTCACATCATGTCAAGATTAGTCTCCGGTCGAAAGCCTGGACGTATCAATTGATGGTGTAGTCTGCTACACAGCCGTTTTTAGTGTCGTCACGAAACGCTCCTCAGTACAGTCAGGGATTTGAAAGAGACGTGAAAGTCTCGTGAATGACTCCGCACGCTGGAAAGAAAGCTCTGCATGCTGAGTACAGTCAGGGATTTGAAAGAGCGATTTTTCACATCATGTCAATATTAGTCTCCGGTCGACAGCCTGGACGTATCAATTGATGGTGTAGTCTGCTACACAGTCGTTTTTAGTGTCGTCACGCAACGCTCCTCCCCAGACTATTGATGGTGTGGATATTCCGCTATTTTAAAATAAATACTTAATATTCCGTCTACTTTTAGAATTTGTAACGATAGTTTTAAACATATTGTGATATATAGTTAGTGTTAGGTCATAGAATTGCTCACACGGCTAATATGAAAACCAATTTTGTTGATTGAAACTACTACCGTGTATAAAAAAAAGTTAATTCATTCATTCATTCGTTCATTTCAAGTCTCCTCCCATTTCGAAAGTTAACGTTAAGCTACAGGATAAATGATTGGATCGAGCTATTACATTCTCATACTCTTCTTTGTGTAGAGACGTGAAAGTCTCGTGGATGACTCCGCACTCTGGAAAGAAAGCTCTGCGTGCTGAGTACAGTCATTTTGACCTGACTATTAAATGAACATTTTTCATAAACAATAGACGTTTTATTATATATTTCCAGCAGCATAAACGTTTTACCTTAATAAGAAAATAGGGACCTTTAAATTTCTAGGAACTTAAATAGCCTAATTTCACACTGTTAACACCTATTATACAAGACGTGTTTGAGGACAAGGTATAAATATGTTTTTTTTTACCGTATTTAAGTCTGTTTATTCTCAGATTTTTTCGTCTTTCATTGCTGTCTAGGCCGTGGTTATTTGTTAGACTGCTTGCAGTCCGCCTTTTCTCTTAAAATCCGTCTAGTTCTTGATCTCATCCAGCGCGATTGCAACCCACGATGTTGTTATATAGACGAGACGAGAAAAGACGGTTGTCTCTTATTTTTTCTTTTCGGGCTTACGCCCTCGTTTCTCGCGGCAAGCGGCTTCGCCACTCACATGCTGAGGTTTTGCGTGCAGTAACTTTGCAAAGAAAAATAAGAGACTGCTCGCAGTCTATTATTTGTTGGCATGTTGTTAGGTGTTATACCTCGTTTATAATTTTCTCGATGTTTCTCGGTCACCATCCATTACCTATTTCAACTAAGGAAGTCCTAATTACTTGATATTTTAAAAGCTATCAAACACCTTTGTTGCAGTTATCCCTGTCTGTACATGTCACTAATGCTTTCTCTATACCTTGCTTATTGTAACTGATAAACATATGCATAAAAATTTAAAATTAAATTGTCTTCCCCTTACTCTTCTAGGGGCTAGACCACATTGAAGAAGATCATGCAAAGGTCGCTTGCGGTGGACGCAGAGAGATTTTTTACATTGCTGTGGATTTTTCGATGCCTGAAAGTTTGGAAGGATCTTGACATTATTATTCAAGTGGCAAGGGGTCAGACGTTTGAAGTATCTTTTTCATAAAACAACACATGTCTACTTACCAATACCCAGATTAGAATTCCAAATATCGCATTTAACAGGAGAGCCAGTACTATGACTGTCCATATTTGAGAAAACTCTTTAATCACATTCCATCTCGCCTTGTCGGCCAACACGTCACGATTCTTCACCACAGCTATGCCCGGCGAAATTATTAAATCTTGGAACCGAACTTTGTGAAAGTTGTCGCTCATTACATAGGAACTAAGCACTGGAAACACCAGGTCAAACCCAGACTTCATCTTCATGCATTCGGTTAGTTCCGAAGCGGTCTTTACTTGATGCGTGTAGTTTAATTTAAAGCTTGAGTTTTCGCACCGTTTCTGAGACACCAGTAGCTCAAGGTTGCAGTTTTTACATTTACTAAGTAAAAATTCGATTGCCTCGTTGAAGGCCCCAGAAATGTTTCCAGTATCATCATCTTTAAATAGGTAAGGTGGACTATCGAGCCAACAAACCGACAGTTTGAACTGATGACATCTTGGCGATGAATCTGTTGGTTTGGATGTTGACTGGATGAAGTGAGTTGAAGTGGGAGTCACTGATGAATAACTTGAGTTGTGGCTTATTAAAGATGAAGACGGTGATAGAGCATCCATTTGACAGACTACAAACAAAATCAAGTGAGTACCCAGTGCCAGTTTTATCTCCATTTTGTTAATGCTTTTAGATTACTTGTCACCCTAAGGGGGTATTTAGTTCTCATGACTAACCCAAGATAAGAGTGTGTTGATGAGAAAGGTAATTATATCCTCTTCATATTAATTACATCACTGCATGCAGATCCATAACTGCTCCTCAGCAATCGTGAAAAGCCAAAAATAACGTCGGCCACATTTCAGGCCAGAGGCAACAGTAGCCTTTTTGCTGCCGCTTTTTGCAAGAGCGATTTTCATTCCTGTATTTGGGATGAAAAAACGAAATCGATTAACGATGCGTAATGATAGCATAGATATAGACTGCAAAACAGTCGGTATTTTTGCGTATTCAAGGACGCGCGAGCAGTCAAACAAAAGGTCTGCAACAAGGCTGAAAACAGAGAGCGAGACTGGGGAGAGACGGTTTTTTTGCTCTCGCCTCACACGCCCTACGGGCCTGTGTTGCTTGCGCGCTACGCGCTCATAAGACTCTTACGCCACGCTTTAGCGATTTCTTTCCTGATTTTGAGAAAAAACCTACTGTCTTGCAGTCTAGCATAGATAGAATTATTTTAATTTTTTTTTTTTCACTGCTTCTAGACTCTCGACTTTCTTTGTCGCAATTTATTGACGGAATTTTGAGTGGTATTGATTTCGAGGGTGACGTGTAAGCAGTGTACAATTGCAACTAGGCCATATGTCTGATCTGTCAACAGAGAGACTAGGAGAAAATACTGGTAGCAGGTGGGAAATAGCTTTGGGTTGCAGTCGGACTTGTCACTCGAGGCCAGGAAGAGAACTTTGAACAGCACAGATGGCTCTCAAGACGTACTGGGGAGTGAAGCACCCAACATCGAGGAGTTTAAACAAACTTGGTTGTGCGGAGTAACCATTGAGAAAAGAGGGAGAAAGGGGGGAGCCGCTTGGCCCTGAGCTGTGGAACAAGGAAAATGACTCTATTGTAGTAACCTTTCTTCAGACGACTGTTTGAAAGTGACAAAGCGAAGGATCTTAACTCCCGGTCTTAGCTAGACCTACAACCCCGGTGAGATTTTTTGGGCATGTACATTGCAGACCCCTAACCCCTTTGCAGTGTTGTTAAAAAGCGCACTTTGGGAACGTTTGAGCAATTTTCAGCTATAGGGGAGGCGAGGGAAATATTCGAAAAGGGGTTCCAACTATTTTGTCCGGGATAGATCTAGCTTTGACTGCCTGGGGCTGGCTTCTCTGATCAACCCTGATCGACAATTGTACCAGCAAGATTGTGTCATGAGGTTCTCATCGGACTCGGACCAACCTGGTGATATTCGTAGTTCAGTATTGCAAGGAATGTGATGGAACGAGACTATTGAAGGGAATCAGCGTGTGCCACGAAGTCGGGTTCAAGAGCCAGGTACCAGCACACATTCCAGCGAAAGCGCATCCAAAACGGACTGTCGAATGCCGCGTACGCAGTTGAATTTCAAGAATCAGGCCCAAATTTCAGGCATGCTGATAAGGGCCAAACAATCCCCCTACTAGATTTGGTAGCCGGACGACCTGTCGTTGAATCTATTGCACAGAGAAATGGACGCCTTGCAAGGTTACCTAGTGGCTCTACATTGGACCAATGGAAATGGCTGCCACTCTCAGAACTGACGAGAATTCTATATTCGAAGGGTTCGATGCGTTTTTGTTGCCTCAGTCTACAAGTCATTGGTTACCCGACCTATTCTTGAATACGCCGCCGCCGTCTGGAGTCCGTACCAAATATAAAAGTCATCAAATCCAGTTGGGAAAAACCAAAGGAGACCATCTCAGTTAGCCTTAAAACAAAAGCTCGGAGAAATGAGCTATGGAGCCCACTGTCGCTTACTGAATTGGCAAACTTTGGAGAAGCGTAGAGAGTTCTTATCTCTAGTTTAGTGCGGATTTTTTCGAGCTCACCAAGTGTTATCGAATTAGAGCCAATCACGATCATAGACTCCATGTAAAAGTTGCCACTCTGAATTGCTACAAATACTCTGATCTTTTTTAGTACGAATCGTTATATGGAATAACTTGCTTTTAGACGTTGTACACGCAGGATTGTGGCCTTAACTTCGCAACAGTATGAGGATTTATATGAATATTAATTGATATTATTGTAAACATGTTCAATTGTTTTAGATTAGATTAGTTGTTAGATTTTTTCTCTGTAAATAATGTTTCTAGATTCTATTTTTTAGCTAGCTTGCTGACACAGTCATGCCTTGAATGTAAAGGCATGTTTTATAATTTGCTGCTTAGTTTGTTACAGAAATTTATTTCCAAGTGTCAAATACACTGGAGCTGTTAAAAATAAATGGCAAAGGTCACCAGTTGTTTATTGTTAAGTGCTCTTATTCAAATTTTTATATACTTATATTCCAGTTTAAAGGTCGGCCCTACAAATACTTTAACCTTCTGTGGTATTTAAAGCAGTGTCCCATTTTACTTTTTATTATTATTGCATGTGTCTTTGTTTCAGAGTATCACTTTACTAACCGTGAAGCAATGCAAAAAAGCATTGATGCTGGTGATTTCATTGAATCAGCAGTTTAGAATTAAAACTTCTATGGGACAAGGTGAGTGTAGGTACCATCACTGTATTTATTCGATTAAGCGCTCAACCTGGAATAAGCACCCACCTCGAATAACCACCCACCCTATAGGCAGGAAATGTTAATAAGCACCCAGCCTCGAATATGCGTTCACCCCCTCTACTATTTACTGCCCAGGAAAAAAAAAATTTTGACCTAATTGGTGACAAAGAGATTAAACTAGACCATTGCAAAAAAAGGGACTGTAATGCATTACGTCGCTAAGTGTGCTGGGATAAGAAAAATCATGTGCTTTTTATAGCGGCGGCCATGTTACGTTTGCAATGAAATTGGTTGAGTTAAATCTGTTTGTTTGGATACTTGATTGCTCTTGGGATCACTACATTGGCGACGAGGACAAAAGTTCCATTGTCTCTCTGATCGAGCGACGATTGGCCCCTAATTTCCTCCTAATGGACGAGGTGGTTAACTTCATTCGAACTGTACGCCGACGGGAAAGGGCTTATTATAAGCGAAGGAACCACAGCAGCAACTAAACAGAGGCGAAGAGCAATGTTACTCCACCTGGCTGGGCCTCATGTACAGGAGATATTTACCACCTTAACTTACGCCAGTGCTGTTGAAGCTCTCAACGCCTATTTCGTACCACGGGTAAATTCAGCATTCGCCCGCCAAACCTTTCATCGGATCACGCAAAACCCAGGTCAGACAGTTTAACAGTTTGTCACTCGCTTAAGGGAAGCAGATAAAGATTGTGATTTTGGCACTGATACCGACAACCAGATAAGAGATGCAGTTTTAAATAAGTGCACTTCCACCTACATCAAACGAAAATTGCTTGAAGAAGGCCACGGACTAAACTTAACACGCACCCTAGAGGTTCCTCAAAATGCGAAAAGATAAAAACCCAACTGGCTGCCCTTTCAGTAAAAGAGGAAGAATCAGAAAGTATCAATAGAATCAAGGAGAGAAGTGACAATCCGAGTACTATCAGTACTATCACACAAGGACGATTCCAAGGGAGAGATAAGATATGTTATAGATGTGGTTTATTAGAACATTTCGGTCGTGATCCCCAGTGCCCAACATGTAGAAAGTGTTGCGGGAAACATGATTTTGGAAAAGTTTGCAAGACAAAGTCATATGCTCGTCAGGTTGGGAGGGAACCCGATGACAATGACCCTGGGCCCCAGCATGACTATTCATTCAGTATTACAGAAGGAGAACACTCAGAAATGGTCACCGTACAAGTAGGAGGAGTAGACTTTAAGATCTTTATAGACTCTGGGGCAAACAGCAACATTATTGACGAGGGGACGTGGGAACAGCTAGAGGTGAAGAGAGTGAAATGTGAATCACAAGCTCCTTCCCCAGACAAGAAGCTGTACCTATATGCGTCTAGTCAGCCACTGCCAGTTTAGGGTAGTTTTAAGTGTACAGTGAGTGTTTCTGATAGATCCACCAAAGCTGAGGTCTTGGTAATTAAAGGTAGAGGGATGTCACTGCTTGGAAAGATAACAGCCACAGAACTGGGAGTGTTAAAAGTTGGCATTAACATTGCTATGGTAACAAGTAAAGCTGACAGTTTAAAACAGCAGTACCCGTATTTGAGGGTGTCGGAAAATTGAAAGCAAAAAGATATCTCCGGATATAGACCCCACTGTAAAACCTATTGCGCAGCCTTATAGAAGGATACAATTTAATCTGAGAGGAAAGATCCGAGATAAGACCACAGAGCTGTTGGACCTGGGAATAATTGAACCAGTGGAGGGTAAAACTCACAACAAAAAGTGTTGCCATTTTTGTTTAAAGACTTTTTATTGTTTTATGGCCGTGTGGTGACAACATTTGCATAATTGAAAATCACCTAATTAACAGAAACCACACATGTATGTATCTGGCAAAGTCTCATCTTTTTACTGCTAAAGTGCTCAGAGATAGACCACCCCCATCACTTTTTGACTGAATCATTAGGGGCCCATGCCTTAATTTACTTGAGTATTTGTTTATTTCAAGGACCCAATTAGAATATGACGTAATGTTTTCTAGAACTTTCTATGACGAGGTAAGAACTGGATAAACAGGTCTTCGGGTTGTATAAGCTTTTTCAACATACCAGTGTGCGCTCTTTTATCGTGAATCGATCTGTAACGGAATTCTTTTAAGTTTCTGGTAGACGTTAAAGTTCAAGTTGCGTTTAAGAAACCTGTGGCTGTCACAGACGTTCAAGTTGAATCTTAATATTCATAGGTATGCTGCTTTCAGAGAAAGGCATTGGTCCTACAGCACATTGTGTTAAAGCAGTATTAGAGGTGGAAGAACCAAAGAGTGCGTCAGATGTACGTACCTTTCTGGGTCTAGCCAACTACAGTAGCCGGTTCATACCTCACTTTGCCACTTTATCCGAAACACTGCGAAGGCTGACAAGGAAAGAGACACCCTTCGAACTTGGACCAGAGCAGAAGAAGTCCTTTGAATTTCTGAAACAGAAGATGGCAGAAGCTTGCACTTTGGCATATTTCCATAAGAATGCACCCACCAAGATAATCACGGACGCCAGTCCAGTTGGGCTGGGCGCTGTTCTCGTACAGGAGCAGGACGGTGCATGGACACTGGTATGTTATGCGAGTCGTAGTTTAACCGGATGTGAGCAGAGATATTCCCAGACAGAGAAGGAGACACTGGGTGTGGTGTGGGCGTGTGAGAGATTCCATGTCTATGTGTATGGGATGAAGTTTGTTGTAGAGACCGACCACAAGCCTTTAGAGGTCATATATGGTCCACAGTCAAGACCATGTGCACGGATAGAGCGATGGGTTCTCAGATTACAGCCATATGATTTCAGTGTGATATACAGGCCTGGGAACGAGAACATTGCTGAGCCATTGTCGCGACTACTTCATAGGAAGGTTGAACCTGACAACCACCAGCGGTGTACTGAAGAGTATGTTAGGCTTGTTGCTGTAAGTGCAACACCAACGGCACTCACAACCCGTGAGATAGAAGAGGCCTCTGCTGATGATGAAGAGCTGAAAAAAGTGAGGAAAGCTATTGCAACGGGGCGGTTTGAAAAATGTAGACAATATATGACAGTGGCGGGGGAGTTGTGTGTCATTGGTCAGCTCGTGCTTAGAGGTACACGCATTATTATTTTATAGGAAGCTGCAGCCAAGGACCTTAGCACTTGCTCATGAAGGCCACTTGGGCGTGGTTGGCACCAAACAGACCCTGTGTGTGGTGCTTACTAAGGAAATCTTAATGTACAATAGCGGAATAAAAACAATTTAAAGTAGTGGCCTGCTTAGCCTCAGCTGACAGGCTGTTCCATGTTACTGCGCCCCTCTATAACGAAAACTTTTCAAGTTAGGGCCTCAGTGTTCGGTCGCGGAATAAACAGGTTATGTTGCGCACCTCGAAGATTATGCCTGTGAATGGTATTAATGCTGGCGAATTTATCAGACAGGTATTCGGGTACAAGGTTATTTACAGTTTTAAACATTAAAGATTTCAGTTGCTTAGCACGTCTGTCAGCGAGGCTATCCCATTTAAGGGCATGAAGAATAGGGGCAGAGCTGGCATCCCAGCTAGACCCTGTAATTATTCGTGCAGCCCTGTTTTGAAGCTTCTCTAGTTTTTGGCTGAGACCATTACCGATACAGCCCCAGACAGCGCTGCAATAATCGAGATGCGGAAGAATCAATGACTTGTAAATAGTGACAAGGGTACTCTGGGGACATATTGGTCTTAGCCTCCTCAGGGAAGCTAGTACTTTTGCAACTTTACCGATGACTTCGGAGATGTGAGCCTCCCACGACAGTGTTTCATCAACCTGATCGCCTAGGCATTTGTAACTATTGACTCTTTCAATTGAATGCCCGTCGAGGGATATGTGTGGATCGCAAGGGAGCAAAGAGATTTTTTGCCTCGTGCCTGTAAACAGACATTTAGTCTTGAGGACATTAAGACTTAGACGGTTAGAATCGACCTATTGCTTCAGATTACCCAAATCGTGAGTCAGGGATGAAAACAACTCATTAGGGTCTTTGGAGGCAAACGTGAGATTAGTGTCATCGGCGTACATTCTCACATCCGATAGCAGGTTACGGTTAGGGAGATCATTAATGTATAATAGAAATAGTAGGGGGCCGAGGATTGAACCTTGAGGCACCCCACAACTTATGAAGCTAGTTTCGGAATTTACGTTGTTTATAAGTGTCTGTAACCTGAGTTCTATCTGAGAGGTAGTCTCGGAAAAGATTGAGACTCACACATTTCAACCCATACAGCTCCAATTTTGACAGAAGGATCTCATGGTCAATAGTATCAAAAGCCTTTTTTAAGTCAATAAACAGAATGGCATTTGTCAAACCATCGTCGATATTGAGATACCAGTTGTCAGTGATGTCAATAAGAGCTGTAAGGGTCGAGTGCATAGGTCTAAAGCCAGACTGATATTTCGAAAGTAACTTATTATCATTTAAATATGAATGAAGAGAATATTGTGAACAGCATAGTATTATACATCAGAAAGTTACTGCCAAGCGGGCCCAAGCCAACGGAGAGGTCAAGAGACAGAATCGATCATTGTTGAAACGTCTACAAATTGCTCAGGCAGAGAACAAACCATGGAGAGCAGAATTAAAGTGCCCATCACCTAAAATTCTTTATTTTCTTATCTGAAACTACACCTTATTAAAATAACTTCTACGAAAAAAATTTGCGATATGAACCAAAGACGATTTTTTTAGAATTTTTTAAAATCGTTCAAATTTGCCGCCATTTTGGCACACCATTCGTCTTAGTCTTCTCTCGGAGTATGAAGTCATATGACGTACTTTAAGGAACACGTGACCTTATCGACAGGAAAACATAAGAGTTCTGATAGTTTTTTCTTTTTCAGAAAAACTTTCTTCTTGCGAAGACATTGTGATTCAATCCTTACTTGTAATTGTACAGCTGGTGAAGGCAAGCTAATGCGAGTTCCTTAATTTACGTCACATGGCGGCGCGGGTGTACCGCAAAAATGTAGACTTCAAAAATTGGTCAAAAAAATCGCGTTTTGTTCAAACCGCAAAATTTTTTCGCGGAAGTTATTTTAATAAGGTATAGTTTCAGATAAGAAAATATAAACTTTTAGGTGATGGGCACTTAAGGAAGTATCTCACTCCCTATAGAAGCATTCCCCATAATACGACTGGAAGGAGTCCCGCTGAGCTACTGTTTAACTGAAAAGTTAAGGGGAAGATCCCTGATTTAAGCATCGACCATGCTTATGACCATGAAGTACATGATCGCGATGCTGAACAGAAAGCTAAGAGTAAAGCTTATGTAGACATACATCCCAGGGCCAGTCCCTCCAGCATTGAACTGGGTGATGACGTTCTTGTCCAACAAGACAAGACTAACAAACTCAGCACTGCATTCAACCCAAACCCCTTTAAGGTCGTCAGCAAGACCGGAAACAGTCTCGTAGTAGAGAGTACAGCAGGGAACCAGTACTCCAGAAACACAAGTCATGTGAAGCAATACATTAGAGAGGGAGATCCCACACCCCAACAAGGGTCAGACTCTGTGTCAACATCCCCCACACCCCAGCAGGAATTAGACCCTGTGCCATCACCTTACCAACCAACCGTACCAGAATCGACTGCCGGGCTGCTGGATAGAGGGAAGTGCCCTGATCTGCAGGAGAATGTTGGAGCGGCACCAGAGCCATCAAGGAATCTGAGACCCCAGAGGACAAGGAGATTGCCAGAGAGATTAAGAGACTATGTTGTTAATTTTCTTTGGGGAACATGGACACTGATTCTCTCTTCAGAACTATGTACAGTTTGAACATTTAAGTTTCTGTTTGCGTATTTTAGAAGAAGAGACTTTATCGTTAGTATAGTTGACTTTATTGTTGGTGGAGATTTCTATTTTCATGTAAAGGAGCATTTTTCTGAGGAAAGGAGAGATGTAATGTATTAGGCCGCTAAGTATGCTGGGATAGGAAAAGCCATGTGCTTTTGATAGCGGCGGCCATGTTACGTTTGCAATGAAATTGGTTGAGTTAAATCTGTTTGTTTGGATACTTTATTGCTCTTGGGATCACTACAGAGACTTCTTGAAGACTGAGTTTCTTAGTATTTTAAAGCTTCGAACAACCAAGATCTTGGCCAGCCAGGTTCGCCTGCCTTTATAACTATAATGCAAATTTTATAAGGTGAGAAGGCATAAGCCAAGCCAGCCCAGCAAAGCAGGCCTGGGCCTGGCTAACCGCGCTGGCTCACCTCATATAAACAGGCCTTAGGTTATGACACTTCATACTCCATACTAATCATTAAAATGGTCAAAAACGAAGCTCTTAAGACCATATTTTATAATGGTTAATTGAATCAGTTAAAGCGCCTATCACCTAAATTTTTTTATTTTCTTATCTGAAACTACACCTTATTAAAATAACTTCTGCGAAAAAATTTTGCGATTTGAACCAAAGACGATTTTTTTAGAATTGTTTAAAAACGTTCACATTTGCCGCCATTTTGACACACCATTCGTCTTAGTCTTCTTTCGGGGTATGACGTATTTTAAGGAACACGTGACTTTATCGACAGGAAAACATTAAAAGTTCTGGTAGGTTTTTCTGTTTCAGAAAAAATTTCTTCTTGCGAAGACATCGTGATTCAATCCTTACTTGTAATTGATCTTTTTTGTGTACTGCTGGTGATGGAAAGGTAATGCGAGTTCCTTAATTTACGTCACATGACGTCATATATGAGTCTGCTAGTTTGCGTGATCAGCGGCGTGGGTGTACCGCAAAAATGTGGACTTCAAAAATTGGTTAAAAAATCGCGTTTTGTCGAAATGGCAAAATTTTTTCGCAGAAGTTATTTTAATAAGGTATAGTTTCAGATAAAAAAAAATAAAATTTTAGGTGATGGGCACTTTAATTAGCTTTTGATCCTGAATGTTACAGTAAAAAGGCAGTTCAAGATGTTCTAGATACAGGCAAAGTTTGTTTACTGGACATTGAAATGCAGGTATGAAACTTACCAAATAATAATAAAAAATTATAAGGGAATAATGATTGACTGTGTTTTGATAAAAATATGTAGAAGGAGGAGATATCAGGGGCACCCAACGACGTTTTCCTCCCAAATGCATTGAAAACACTTTTTTCGACTATCCAGAATACTTTTAGACCTTTGCAAATGCATTCTAAGCGGCCCTATAAAATTTGTATCTGTTCGGTCATGCTAGGGGAACTTATTTAAATAAGTCTTTTCGGAATTGCAAGGGCTTCAGTATTATTTTCCCGAAAATGTTAGATGCAATTTAGCGCATTACGAAAGTGAAAAGAATTTTGATTCCTCTCTTCATTTTCATCCGAAAATTTTAGGTTTCCTTTTTCTTGTGAAAAATAGCCTAGCCTTGGGTGTGAAATGTGAAACATTAAACTTCAGAAAATCGTAGGGAACTTTTTAGATAAGCTTCGAAAGCTGTACATGAATGGAACGGTCATCTAGAAAATTTTAGCTGTGCTCAAGTAATAGAAAATTCTAGGCAATATTTGCTTCTCCGAACAGATTCTTACAGAAAACAGTCGTCGGGTGCCCATCAGATATTATGTAAGAGAAGTGGATTTAATTAGGAACTTTTGAAATATTTCATTTGGAGTTTTCATCCAAGGAACAAGAAAGTTAGAATTTTCCTAATACTTGGTTATTTGAGTTTTAGAATATCTCAGCATATTCACTCCTTGCACAATGAGTTTACTCACTAGCAGAGTCTTTCTTTTCTCTGATTTGTAATGCTGTTTGCCAGGCTCCACGACTCTACTGTAACTTCTTACCGAGCCTTCAGTGACTTTGCTTTACTTTAATTATGTGCTGGTACTTTACTATTTAAGAATCATCAAATACACCCATATCGTCATGATGCACTATAGATGACCAAAGATGAAGTTTTATGGACACTAGTGAACAAACTAAACCTATTACTACTAACTGTGTCAACGCAAAAGGTGGATTCTAAATCTTGGCAAATTTTAGAAACAAAATACTTTTAAATAAGCATGTCAGTGGCTGACTGATTCACATTCAAGATTTCAGATTATATTACAGAGAATAGAATTAAAAAGCAGGCGAACAATACATTATCTGCCTAGTATATTAATTGTGTCAAGTGAGAGCAGAGAGAAGAGGACTGTGTTAACAGGTGATACACAAACTCAACATATAAACAGAGATATGTAAATATATGCTTTGGCAAAACATTTCATGTCCTGTCTTTACATGTTTAAAAGTCTCCTAAAAGAGCAATAGTTTGTACTACAATAGAAATGTAAATAATTATTTTCTAGTTTGTTTTTCAGAGAGTTGTTATTTTAAAGAAAACAGACATGGATTTTTGTAAAGACACCATCACTGGAAGACCTGGCACATGACTGTTTTATATGGTGCCTTGTACTGCGGGTTTGCTAGCTGGTCCCCTGCAATTAAACTAATAATTTACTATTCATTCAATTAAATAGTAATTATTATTCATTAAAGAGATTTCCCCAATTCTGATTGGCTAAAAGCACACGCATAATTCACGATAACAAGTTACTGATGACCAAATTTGGAAGAGTTTTGTGTTTAACGAGAAAATGACGTCAAAAATGCAGCCCTCTACAGGTTAATGCACCGTTAACCGAGAAGACCTGGGGACGAGAGGTTGAGTTGTTTAAAACGGCGGACACGTCACTCGTTTCCAGAGTAAGAACTACAACTGGAACTATGCGAAATAATTGCTAAAAACATAGCAAAAACAGCAAGAAGACAACTCGGAGGGCGACATCTGCTATTTGGAGAATATTTACGGAGCTCGGACAAATCTAAACGTACACTATCTAAGATAGTGCAGGTAAACATGTTTTAGCTATGTTTTTAAACTAGGAATTATTTTCAGTGAATAATGAAGAAATTAATGAGTTCGGCATTCGATCTGCTTAATTCTTCATATCCTACGAAAACCGAATTCATTAATTGCTAAGTAATCTGATTTGTTCAAATCCCCTCGCTTTTTCTGCTTAACCAGCTACAACCAGTTGCAGAAATGTTGAGACACTTTGAAGACCGAGAGAAGCCTGCCTTTTTTACCCAAAATATCTGCTTGTCATGTATTTGTGAGATTTAACACTCACCCCCTCCCTCTCCTCCCTTCAAAGTTGTTTCTTTAAGTAGTATTGCTAGCAACATTGTCAAAAGGGGGAGGGGGATCACAAACACTAAGTCATTGACATGAAAAATCTTGCGCATTGAACTGTGCTTTATGATCATGCTCACTTTCAGGTTAAATACACCTACATATTTGAATTTATGAAAATTAGCAAATTTGCAGTGTCTGACACACAGTGCATGTGACTTTACACACAGAACAACAGTTAATTAAGAGGAAAATTGAAATGTGAGGATGAGTTTTTTTGTCTGATATCCAAACGCATCACTTTATAGTCCACCTTTTTCTTCTCTATTTGAGTTTTCAGTCAATTTCTGAGTTTGTTTTCTGTAGAAAAGACGTCTTCGTGCTCGTGGCACAGAAACAGAAGAATCAATTTCAAGGAGGTTAAACATAGCGCAGACTGAACTTGCATATGGTATGACATTCTTCAGCAACACTTAAATCACACTTTTTTAACTATACAGTTGAACCTCTCATACGGACACCGAAGGGACAGAGCGAAGTATCCGTATTAGAGAGGTGTCCTTTGCTATTTTGCCAGTGCAGTAAACAGTAACTAGAGCACAAAATGTAATAGAAAAAATCGTTATGCTATCAGTAGTTACTGTCTTTATTCAAACCCTCGACGTCGTCTCGGGTTTGCATAACTGTCAAGAATTCTCCCAACCCCTCGAGTGTTTACATCAGACTATGCAAACACAGGAAAAAAAGTCTTCTATTGCTGTTATAAAATAACTTTCCCGAGAAAAAAGAAAAACTCTTTGTTTAGGTTACTGATTAAAAGAGAAATTCTTACCACTCGCGAAGTCTTGTACACGAAGCTCAATGTACGTGTAATCAGTTCTTGTTTTGCAATAAAGTTGCTTTCCAAAAAGGGCTTTTCTCGCTTAAAATGTCAGCTTAAGCGAAAAAAAAATGACACAGCATATTTGTAAAGATTTTCCAAGTCTCATCCGACGAGGGAAAGGGTAAATAAAGTAACTTTGTCGAGTTTTCAACTCAAAAACGTTTTAAAATTCGTGCTTGTGTGGTCAGCGCGCGAAGAGCAAAACATCTTGACTCCACATATGTTTACATACTCTCATGCAAACACATCTCTCGGCCAATCAGAGCGCGCGCGTACTACCTTTGTTATTTATAAACGTTGTTATCAGCTGTGCGGTAGTCTTTAGGGCCTATTTACATGGAGGTGGGGGACCCCAGATAGGTATGGTAAACGGGATCAAATTAAAATGAGAGATTATGTGGACAGGCGGGTTACCCACCAAAGCGGGTTACCTCACCTACCTGGGGTCCCCCATCTCCATGTAAACAGGCCCTTAGACTTCTCGTTTTTTGCTCTTAATATTTTAGCTGATTAGATCTCTAGAGATCCAACGTTGACAAGCAACAGGATCTTCGTCCACGGTTTTTGCAGTAAATTTCTTTAACAAAAATGAAGTATTAAAAACTTTTTAAGGCTTACAAGTTTTTTTTATTTTGTCCCTTTACAAGTAATCTATTTGTAAACG